GCACAACTTGCAGCCGATGCGCCTAGGACAGAAGTTTAGTTTGCGGGTTCAGGGCTTATGAGTTAAGAGGCTTGGGTACCTGATTGGTTCTTACAATGGCCATGGATGTTGGTGATAGATCTAGGTTTCTATCGTCTAGGCATTACGGAAGCGGGCCCGTGTAGATTTGTGTTTAGTAGGGGTAGCAGACCTTCCAAACCGATAAATTATAGTTCGTGACCCGATATGGTAGTAAAACCCAAGAGCGTTCTCTGTCAGAATTCTTCTGCGGCAAAGACGATGGCACTTTCAGTTCATGGCGGCCCCGAATCCCAAACAGAAAGCCCTTACAGGACTTCAACCGCAAGGGTGAGAAGAGCGCCTACACCCGGCTCATCGAGAAAGAGAAGGGTGAACTCTGAGGCAGGGTAGGATTCTGAAAACATGAGGGAACGCTGTGGGGCCGAAAAGGAGTTGTGTACCGCACTCGTTTCTGAAAGAGAGGGCTCCTTTTGGGGGACCCCGCGGCACAAGCACTCGTCGGGCCTTGGTTTGAAGCAATAATGTGAGAGGCCGGGGGCTTTGAGATATGTCGACTTAAGGATTTGAGTCTTGATTTAGGATCAGGTTCTGGGCATCTGGTGTTAACATTGTGGGCTTGGGTCTTGGCGGGTCCCGAGGAATCTGACCTGGCACAGTGGGGGTACAGTTCTGCAACGAGATGGGGATTTGCTGGGAATCTGGTAACTGCGACACCCCTTCGTGACTACCGATTTGGAGTAACTTGCCACTTCTGAGCATGTAAAAACTTCACCAAGTAAGTCAAACAGAGGACAGCTCACTTGGCATATTCTTACGGGGATGTGGAACTAAGGAGCCCCTGCCTTTTGCGGGTGTTGCTTGGGTCATTTCAAATTTGCAAGCAGCTATGCACGAGAGGGATCCTGATAGAGTGGCAGCAGGACTTGGACCCTCCATGCACGCTACCAGGCGACGTCGAATCTGAGACAGACGGGCGGCGACACTTCGTGATGAGGGGCATTCAAGGCTTCAGAACTAGGATTAGGTCTTCATGGAAAAAAATCAAGAAGAATTCTCTGCCCCGTAAATGTCAAGCGCACTGATCCTCCCAAAGATATTGAACACGCCCTACTCAGAAGGTGAAGCGAGGTGAAGGCCCCAGCAACTACGTCCAAACCGTATGTTTGTGTGGCAGCTGAACAACTATAGAAGAACGTGAAGATTCACGGCCACCTATGTGGTTTCGAGGTAAAGTTGTCAGTTGTCACGTTCAGGGCTGTCTGTTTTCTTTATAGTAGCGAAACGTGCCGACATCCAGCAACACTCCACCCAGCAAGTCTCCAACTACTCCACAAGAAACATGTCAAACAATAGGAGGCCTTCAATCGGTCAGAAGATGCTCTCTGCGGTGCCGTCCGCAGATAGACCAACTCGCCTGGTGCTGCAGGCGAGAGGAAAAACTTGTCCGGCTGCAAGCAGCCTCATCTTGGGCGAAAAATGCCCCCGTTCCAGATGTACTGTTCAAAGACCTAGATCATCCTAATTCCAAGGCTAGCAACGCAGCCGGTGATTTGTACACAGGCCTTGCAAAAGATTTTCATCTACAGGCCCAATAAATGAGATTCACTTTTTTTTGAGAGAAATCCCTTGGTATGGCATGGTCGTAAGCTCCTTTGCATGCGCAGTTGCTCGATGGCATCTTGGCTTTGGCCAGGCGTGTGAGGAGTGGGGGGGCCGAAGGTATGCAACAGAAGATTCACCCCAATAATGGTTTGTGGTTGCCCAAGACTTTGCAGTCCTAGCGGACGATGGAAAAGACCATATCCTCGAGAAAGCTCAAGCTATGCCACTCACTTAACTTCATAGAGGCTATCCTATGCCCTTTGGGGGTTGTGGTATCTCTTCTTTGGATCAAACCACTCAGAAGCACATCCACAGCCAATCCATAGACTGAAAGCATCTGTAGACTGGCTGAGCCATGATTTTGCTTCCCCGGGAAGCGGTGGATCGAAATGCTTATCACAGGGCTTCGCTGGGAGGCCGGTCTAATCCAGGCTTCGGGGCTCATAGATTCAGGGGCCATATAATTCTGCAGGCTTTGGCACGGCGTTCTAAGAAAATCGAAGAGGCTGGGTGCTTTGTCGGGATACAGAGGACAAGCCCACTTGGACGCCTTTTAACTCTGCAGGTCTGGGGGATGTCTTGGCACATATGCAGGAACTTATTAAAGAAGGACCTCCTGAACAAGGATTGCTATCAGGCTCCTGGGCCTGAACCGATCAAAACCCTGATATGCCAAAGCACGTGCAACTCTTGGACCCGACCTGGCACCCTAAGCCCTGCTTCTAGAACCCCTGAAATATGACGTACCGTGATACAGTAATTCCTGTAAAACATGGTCTGGATGATGTCCTCTGTCTGCGAGTGTTGATACTATTCCTTCAGACTCTGCTGCTGCTTCTCGACTTCTCGTAGTCTTACCAGCTTCACTGCCGCTATACCTTTCCTTCGTCCCTTTTTGGTTCTGCTGACTTTCCTATCCTTAGCCTTTCGATTCACATAATCCGAACCCAACGCCTTCATCTTTCTTGTGCCCACTGACTCTCATTTGGTTTGTGGTGTGGAGCCCTGCCAGGGCGATCCTTTCTGGGCTTTGGCGCTTATGCTGCTTGGCAGGTGCTGAAGATCATGGAAGTTCTCGTAGATTGTAGGGATGTGGGATTTCGGAGTAAGGGTCTGGGGACGTTGGATTTGGAGCCTACGGCATACGAAGCATGTCGAGGTTTGGATTTCGTGTCAGCGATCGCAGGGTCAGGATACACTGCCACACGAATAGCGCTATAAAGAGCAGATCCGTTCCCATACCACCCCTCAATCATCCTGAGATCTACTTTGCGGCCTGTTGCCCGTAGATCCCGACACGGATGTTGTCAAGCCGGTTTTTTGTTTACCACAATGTCAGCACTGGAAGCATAAACCCATGATGTGCCTACACCTTGCTTGAAATTTGGACACGGTGCAACTCAAGACGACTTCACAGCATCGGGGGCTTCTTGGGTCCCGAGCACGAAGCCGTAAAAAGACCTCAGTTTAAGAAGGCCAAGACCTACCGGAAGCCACCCCAGAAAGTATCTCATGTTCGTTCATCAACATTGAATGTAGAAGGCGTGTTCACCTGATGGGCAGTATGCTAGGTTTGAGATTGTATGAAAACAGCAAAGCCTGAACTGTACTTTACTTCGGCCAAGGGACTTGAGCAGCTGGTGAGCCCGGGCGCACAGAGACTTCCCGGCCGCAAAAGATTTTGAGGGTGGGGGTTGTAAGGTTTGCTTAGAGTACGGGCCCGTGGTTGAGGATGGTTCAGGATCATTCAAGGCTGGGGTATCAAGATTAAGCAGTGCACCTCAGGGTTCAGCGCTTGTAGGGTTGTTCAGGTTGCGATCTGCTGCATCTTGGGTACGTCCCAAGCCTCGTGCATGAACATGCGGGCTCGCACAAGACCAACCCCTGACAATCAGTTGCACGGGAAATGTTATTTGGTGGTTTGTTGGAATGGCGGCTTGAAAGCTCCCATCAGGAGAATGCCTGATCAAAGAGGGCGCTCGTTGCGGTGACTTTCTGTGCCTCAGCACCAAGGAGCTAGCACTGGGCGGGCCAGAATTGCAATGTCATAGTGGGGTGAAGTAACATGTTGAGGAAACCAGACCCCAGCGTCCTCCCGCTTTCCTTTCCGCGTGTTGGGTTGCTGGGGGGACATAGGAGTGGCGCAAAGTGACAGGAAAGAGACTGCAACAGGTCAAGAAGGATTACCTTTGGCGTCCTCCAGTGGCCTTGTATGATGAATAGTGGGACCTGTTTTTGTGGAGACATGCTCACCAAGGAATGCAGAATCAGTCTGAAAAGGGGCAAATGGCTGATAATGTTGGCGGCCACAATACACTGCAGCAACATTAACTGTTCCGCATACAGTAACCGTGCAATAAGAAGAAGGATCCTCATCGCGATCTCCAGTCTAAGGCTAAGTCTTGTGGGCTTAGGGTTTTAGGATGCCTGTAAAGGCTTTGCAGAAGAGTCCAAGTATTTTGCGCGGTGTATTACACCCTTGATCGAGGCATTTCCACCAGAGCGGCGAGTGCTTCCATTCGACATATGACGCTCCCTGACTGGGCAGAGAGGGCTCAGATCTGTAGCATGATGCTTTGCGTCACTTGTGGTGCTATCTTTTGCTGTTCCAGCATGGCGGGGATGGCAAGGGCTTGGGTCCTTTCACAATGGATCCGGACATGGGGCATGAGCTGTTGAGGATGTTCTTCTTGTTCCATTGTGCATGCTGCTGATGCATCAGAACGAACGGTGAACCAGCATACCAGCATTCCGTACAGGTCTGACAAACTCTGGCACAGGAATCGGAAGCAGTCCCCAACATAATGTGTGGAGATCTGATTCCTCAAGAGATCCCCGCATGTTTCACATAATCCCTGGACAGGCTACTTCTCACCATCCCTACCCCCAAAAAAAATCCCAGGGATCAAGAACGACACAAGCAACTTGAGAAGTGTGACAATCGAGTTGAAAAAGCCCCTGGTGCTTCGAGGAGGGAGTGGACCCTGTAAGAATCCCAAGAGAATCCCCTGTAATGGAACGGTACATATTCCCTCCCCCACTCCTTGCTAAGCAACAGAAAAATATAACAAGCCAAGGTCGGATACAAGCTTGGGGAAGGTGGTTTCGGCAAAGTTTTTGTTCCGCGGCCCAAGCTTTTAGTAAGATTGTAAGCAAAAGCCTTCAGTGTTTCAATTGGAGAGGACACGGATGTCTGGCCATTTGCCTAGCTAGAGCGGTTTTTTGATTTGAGGTTAGAAGCCTGGAAGTTTAGGTTCTTCAGCAGGTATGCTCAAAGCATCTAGGTTGATTCCCGCGGCATTGTTCTTTGTAGTACAGGACTGCATTCAAGCGTTGGAGAGTCTCTGGGTGATGCTTCTGCGAAAAGCGATTCCAAGGTCCAAGCCAAAGAACAAAGAACCTTCCTGTCAATGGGGCCGCCGCTATGAACATGCTGAAATGCCACGTAGTACAATGTTTCTAGCACATCACTAATGTTTCTTCCTAAACTCACCAGGCCAGCCTCAACTCCTGAACCTGAAGCTCCGCACCTCATACACCTACCCAATCACACAGCCCTAACTCCTCAAACGGCGAGCTGGCTATTGCCACAAAGCCCAGGCAGCGACCCATAAGGCCACAGCGTGCCTCCGCGCCGTGAAGCGGCTGCGGAAGGCCTTCTAGCTTTCGAGCCCTGGGTTTTCGGCTTTTGGGAGGGTCCCATGGCAAGGACTGCTATGTTGAGGGTAGCCTTATGGTTTTGGGAGGTTAGTTTGTAAACATAGTTTTGAGAGGAGCC